AAAAAGCATGAGTCTGAACCAAGTCCATGTTTTCAGTTTAGTCTAACTTGGCTAGGCTGAATTGGTTTGAAACTGGATAGACATTCTCTCTGCACTGAGGAAATCCAGGCATGCTTGCAGTGGCTCAGGATAGAAGCCAAGGGGTGCTAGAGCAGCCCTCTTCTGCAGGGAGCTGAGCTGAGGGGGGCATGTACAGGCCCTGGCATGACTCTCTCATTAGGGAGGTCTGCCTTCTTGGTCCCAGGCTTTTCCCCACTGGTTTCTCAAGGGATGGGAGTGCTGCCAACCCCCAGCCCTGGGCTAGCACTCTGAGGCAAGGGGGAGGGAGGTGCAGTGCATGCATCTGTTGATGGTATGAAGCTTTTCAATCTCCCTCCCTTCTTCATCATACTGGCTGCAGCAAACTGACAGGCAAGCAAGCCAGCTGAGGGCTGACAGTGATAACAATCTTCACATGAATACCTTGAGGTATGTAGAAAAAACATTTAAAGCTGTGTCTGTGTTCGAATCAATGAAACTTTCTGAACCTCTCCAAATCGATTCAGAGGGTTGTGATTTGATTTGGAGAGATTAAAGGGTCTCCTGATTTGATTCGAATTTAGAAATTTGGCAGCTGAATCGGGCCAAATCTCCACTGAACTGAATCAGAGACCAAAGCTTCACACAGCCTTGTATCACACCCCCTCTGCCTAGTATTGTGAAAATTAGCACATGATAAATCCTTGTTTACTTTTTCTACACCCCTATTTTTATCATCCTGGTTATTCTGCTTTCAGATAGTAATCAGTGAAGCACTTAGCAATGCTCACATTAAAACTACCATCATGAGGTCCTGATGTCTACTACAATGAAGGAGGCAGTTAGCAAATGATATCATGATAGCATTTTTTTAAAACCATGTTTGAGAGAAATACTGCATTAGAAGATTCTTTACATACCAGCCAGCACCTGTTTTTTTTCCATTACTAAGTCAGTAATAAAATGTTTACCTAGAGGTTTTTTTGTGGGGGAGCAGGGTTTGTAGAAATTTGTAAACAAAAACAATTGTGCTCTTTGGCAGATTTTTTTGCTACAAATCAATATGGAGAAAATATTTGCAGATATATTATACAACCTTTAAAATACCATGCACTAATATGCACATTATTCTCTCCTTATTTCCACTGAGAGTGTATATGTAAGCATTTGGTTCAGAGTGAAATGTAGCAAAGTTACCAGTCCAAGGAAAGAAGTCTTTATGTTTAATAGAGTTCAAGAAAACTGGCTTGGTCTTTATTAAGCTCTTGGAGCATAATTAATATATATATACTCTTAGAGCATATATATATATATTTAAATTATTTAAATTATAGTATTTAAATTAAATATATATATAAATAAAAGCTCCTCTCTAGTATTAATTTTCAGTATGTATAATATAAATCGGGACCCAACTGCACAAGTTAAATAATATAAAGCTATCAGGAAACGGTCTGCAGGTATAGATAGGTTGGAGGAAAATTAGGCAAGACTACAGTAACAGCCAAATTTTTGATTCAAGTAAATTTTGTGTTCACACACATCACTGACATCTTTAAAAGGGTTTCTTATAAGTCACCTTTACTGAAATTCTCCCTTTTTCTATCTTAGACAAAGAATGGGAACTGTTTCCATTTCAGGGCAGTCACTGTATTGAGGTGTTCCCTTTAAACAAAAAACTTTTCAAAAGAATGATTACTAATACCTCAGAGGTCTGAAGAAGTTATTAATCAAAATGAAAGCTGTGTCAAGGATGTTCATCCCAGCTGTAATGTTGCTAATCTAGAGAGGTGGATTGAAGAGTGTTGTGCTATTCTGACTTTATCAAGAAACTTTGGCATGTAATTTAAATGGTCTAGCCTCAAACCCCTGCTGACATAGCAATTGGTTGGTCTCTCTATAAACTAATATGACTTTCTGGTGCCTGAAACACAACTATCATTAATAAACAACACTGTCATGTTGTGCATTGACTTAAAAATGTTTCTGTCTTATTTAGCTTGGAGTTATATTAACCCAAGAAAAGATAGAAGTGGTAGAAAAGTATTTTTTTGAAAAAAAAAAATCCAGAAGGATCCTCTTGAAATTCCCCAGTACCTTTAGCACCCAGTACCTTTCACTACATAATATCTCCGTAGTATTGTGGCTGTTAATATAATTAGGGTTGGACGGGACCTCAGGAGGTCATCTGGTCCAACCCCATGTCAGGCCACCATATATAATTAACAGCCATGTTAAGAAACTATCTGCCTGCCTATGGTGGCCCGACAGAGGGTTGGACCAGATGACCTGAGGTCCCTTCCAGCCCTAACTTAATATGATGTCTCTAATGGCTATGACAGGGGCTATACAGGAAAGAAAGTATTATGTAGGTCTGAATTATGGGACAGAAAAGAGTAATTTACATCTCTCCCACTCCATCATGCCTCCCTTAATTAACATGCATCATTTTGTTAATTTTGGATGGAAGTGTCTAATGAGCACTTAAGTCCTACCTCAGTACTCACAGTGAGATTCTTTGTTTAGAGGGTTGTCAACAAACATAACTGAATATGATGCTGCCTCTTTTGTAAGAATGTAATTTTATAGCTTCTATAATTACAGGAATAGGTAGTGACTGGATTTCTTCTCACACCTGAACAGCAAACAGAGCACAGTGAAACAGGCAATCTAACAGGGCTGTGTGAGGCTTCAGACTGTGCTTTGGATCCAGAGAAGCTTCGGATGCTTCGGCATCCAAAGCAGCATGTCCGGATCAAAGCACTTGTTTCATTAGGCTTTCTGAAGTGGTTCAGAGCATCCGAACCACTTTGGAAAAGCTTCGAAGCCGCCTTGGAGATCCAGCCATAGGGTATATTGGGGAATCAATGAAATATCTGCAGGTGTTAATGAGCAATGATTAATACCTACAAAACCACAGACTAAGGAGAGGAAATAATCAATACAGACAATCAACTTCCCCAAGACAGAGACAGTCAGTTGTACAAGCACCCATGTCACGAGTTTTGCCTGTCAGCAGCTAGAAGTGCAGGGCCCCAGAACCCAGAAGCCATGCACCTATCTCCTTGACAGCTGGCAGACTTCATGGCCATAGCAGGGGCTAACATCCCTGCAGCTTTCACCCCCCTGTGCCTTAACACACGCAGTGTCACCCATGTCACAAGTTTTGCTTGTCTGCAGCTTGAGGTGCAGCTCTCCCCAAACCCCTGCACGTATCTCCTTGAAACTTGGCAGGCTTTGTGGCCTGAGCAGGGGCCACCACCCCTTCAGTTTTCAGCCCACTTCACCTTAACACACACAGGGTCATCTATGTCACGAGTTTTGCCTGTCAGCAGCTTGAGGTACAATTTCCCCCCGAACTCCTGCACTGATCTTCCTGAAACTTGGCAGGCTTCATGCTCTCAGCAGAGTCTACCATCTCTGTAAATTTAATCTAAATCAGGCAAAAAAACAGCAAAGTTATAGATGTTTAATTGATTCCCCATTATACCCTATGGCTGGATCTCTGAGGTGGCTTTGGAGCCACTTCGGCCGGATCAAAGTGGGAACCCGGTCCGGAGTTCTGCATCAGATCACTGGCATCTGAAGAAGCCAGGTCTGAAGCCAGATCTACACAGGCCTACAGTCTAATATCCCAGGAAGTTCATCTCCAAAACAAGACATGTAGGACAGTAGAAAAACAGAGCTCTACTTCAGCAAAATGGTTCCATTAATTCCTTGTTAATCTACTCAAGTGAGACAGACAATGAAGTTTGGGGGACTCATGAAACTATAACTTATTTGGCCTTGTCTACTGAAAATCTTTAGCCCACTATTACTATTTTCTTAATGGCCAACTGATAAATCTGGCTGGAGAATGGTGTGACAGAGAAAGGAATTCAGGGGCTGAGTGCACACAGTTATGGTGAGAGCAGATGGTACTACAAGATATCTCGAGACTCATACTGCTGCTTTAAAATGAGCATTGCATCTACATATCCAACCAACACATCTGATTGGAGTCAAAATATGTTATGTCCGATTAAAAGCTCTGTAGTCATTGCAACAAGTGGAATTCAGAGCTAAGTTATATTGCACATTTATGAGAGCCAGAAAACACTGTAACATTCACCTCAAGAAACTGTCCGTGTAAGGAAGATTTGGAGATCCATAAAGGAAGTATGTGGTGCACCCCCCTAAACTTAAATATCCCTAGAATGCAGAAACTTCTCTCCCTCTCTCTCTTGCTCACTCCTTGCCGCACCCCTCCTCTGACTCTTCCCCAGCACAGGGAGTTGAAAGCATAAGTCTAACAAGCACTAACTTAAGAAAAGATTTTCACTGTGATTACTACTAGTAAAACTATGAAAACTTGATCTTAACAATTCACTTAGAGAGGTGGATATATTCAGGGAGGAATGAAGAAACTGCATTCCTCCCTTCCATATATTTCAGCCAGATGTTCCAGCTGAAAGTCTCTACTGTTTATAGAAGGAGAAAGAGGAGTCTTGCTACATCAGTCTAGTTCTGAAATCCTGTTTCCACATATAAATGCATTAGTGGAATGTATATTGAAGTGGCTTCAAAAGTGCTAATACTTAATATCTCTCATTTATGGGTGTGCAACAGGGATTCTCCCTGTTGTTTTAGATTGAGAAAATAAAAACTGAGGCATGCAGAATTATTATTCCATTTTGAAAAAAAATGGACTACAGTGCCACAATAGCCAAGGTAGTAAAATATACTATTAGTAAATGTATTCATTGTTTCTAAAGTTGGACAAAATCACATGTCAATTTAATAACATAAGATTGAAAAGAAAGGCATTGCATTATTCACATTTCATATCAATATAATGTTTAAATCTGTGTAACAATTAACTGTGACAATAAACTGGGACTGACACTGACAATGCAGTGTATTAACAAGAACACATACAAGAAGCATCCAAAGACAAGCTGTTTCAAAAGAACTCTTAATGACAGAAATGAAACACACAATACCTGTATTCTTCCTGGGTAAACCGTGGAATTACCGAAGGTTGCAAAACGACAATCTCAACAGTGGTGGTATTGAACTTCACAGGATCACCATCATCGTATGCAATGACCACTAGCTATAAACAACAAAAATACTCCTTTTATATGGATACAATATTTCTATGTTCATTTGTATTTATGCCACTTTCATGGTTTCAGATGCTAACAAATCAGATATGAATCTTCTAAATGAATAACAGATTTTAAGAGGAAATCATATGTGAGCAAACAATGTAGGAACAACCCAACCATAGGGTGAATGATTTGATACATGATTCAGGAAATTTTTACATATCTATCCATCAAATCTAAATATGAACCCTATAATTTTGTATAGAATACAGCCCAGGCTGTATTCCTTAAACTGTCCAGTGGATTACTTTAATATATGGTGTAGACCTGGGGTGTTCAGCCTCTGGCCTGTGGGCCAAATGTGGCCCACGGAGCCTTGGAATCAGGCCCATGAGGATCTACAAGGATTTGGAAATGTGGCTGTAGGGAAGCAGTGGCAGTGCTGCCAATCCCTCCCTGCTGCCAAAATTCCAACCTCTGTGGGGTAGAACAGAGCTGGGCCA